TACATGGAGATTCAAATATATTTAGACGGATGATGCATTAGAATTTAAGTAGACTATAATCTATAGATTCGGAATAATGAATTATTTTATGAGCTGTAATAAAGATCTAGAATTCAAATCGTTGTACACAAAAATCCTGTAGGTTTTTACGAATGCAGGATTCCTGCAGGGATTTGACGTGCGGGATTGTAGTCACAAAAATTCCTGCTCTAACCTTTTACAAAGGAATCCCCAAAGGTATAAAATTCCATCAAAATAAACAGAGAGGTTTACACGCCTATTTCCCCCAGTATTTTAAAATCTTATTCAGGCGAGAATTTTTTTTATTCCTTGTCTAGCGAACCTGCTGCCATGATGATTTTGAATAAAAATGATGATTTTTGAAAAAAAAATTAATTATTTTTGGCCAATCAGCACACCCACGAAATTAGCACACCCACGAAATTAGCACACCCACGAAAAAATGGAAATTTCCGATAAAAATAAAAGTTTTTTATTTATTTTTATTATGCCTGCCCCTGCCTTAAAATCTCCAAAAATAAGATATGTACATTTTTTCCTAATTATATAAATTTAAAGCATTTAACCATCCCATTACTACACTGTTTAAATTCAACAATAAATTGTTATTTTAGTTTTTTCCTCTGTTTGGATGTTTTTGGCAAAACGATTGGCTAAATAAGAAAACAAACTTTTATTTTTATTTTTTTCCACCCTCCTCTGACAATCTTTAAAAATATAAGTTTGCGAAACAAGGTATAAAAAAAGTCTTGCCTAACCATTTCCAAATTGTTGATCAAACACCCCATCTGTATAAAACATAACAAATTTTCCTACTGTACTGGCTTTAATGCTAACATTTTGTCAGCTTAAGCATAGTATAGCACACTGCAACACACACAAAAAAATAGTAGCTATAGTAATCAGTATTAATAAACAATGATCATTGCAATGACAAACGAAATTGCAAATGTGTAAAATTGTTTTAAAATAGTTTTGACGGCAATCTCATATGTCGTCATCTATTCGATTATTGATAACACAGAAAATTCCCAACTGAAAAAAAATATCTCATTTTCTGTGAAAAACAAGGACAAAGAACAGCCGAATTGTAGATACTGTGTTCGCCCCACAATTTGAGGTAAAAGATGACATTTTGAACATCAAAAATGATCTTCATTATACAGTTAGCAGACTTGAGCTAGAACACTAATGGAAGCCTACAGCAGATGATCACAACTCTATACTATATTCTGCCACAGGCCATGTATTTTCTTCCATCTTTCAAAAGGTGATGTCATTTTTTTTTTTTTTCACAATGGATACAAAAATTAACTTCTTTTTGTATGAGTAATGCAATATAAATTTACATACGACCAGGATAAATTATTTAGATCGTGTTAGTAATAAGGTTTTTGATTATTTTGGTATGGTTACTGTGCAATATATACCTATAATAGAAATATATTGATTTTTTATTTTCCAGTAATTTAAAAGTATTTGATAGTGTACTTCATGTATTCAAGTACTATTCAGTGAGGAAAATGTAGAGATTGCTTCTTTTATTTGCATGGTATTGACTCAGTCTTCTAAATTGTTTTTCTAAAAAAAAAAAAGCAATGATTGAATATGAAAGAGTGAAATTTCTACCATAATCCATTAGTAATGTTGTTGGCCAAATACAAATTAGCATAATTATAATGCCTTTTTATTTAAACACAGACCATAGTCTTATCTGTTTTAATATACCATATAATGTTAAAGTCAGATTCCGGAGGAAAAACAATTTTTGATATGTTGTAGCACTGATTTTTCTAAGACAGAAAAAAGTTGTTTGACGAAAAACTGGGGAACGGTGAATGAGATACAGATTTTTTAAAACTGGGGAAAAAGGGGCGTAACCATCCTCTTTTACACCTTTTTGCCCTCCCTTCTCATTTTGTACCAAGGCACAGTAAATATAAATCAGAATACAATGGAGGAGTTACCTCCTTAGCCACAATTATAGAAGTAATTTAGAAGATTTTATAGTATGATAATGGAGAATTTCATAAATTGAAAAAGTCTCCTTAAGACTAGCTACTGTACTTAATAATATATTCAATTTAATCAAAAAAATAAATAAATAAATAAACAAAAATAATTTATGTTCTGCAGTGCATGTGTTCATTTCAGAAAGAACAATTATAGAAGTAATTCAGAAGATTTTATAGTATGTTATTATTGAGTTGTTTTATTATGGCATTTGTATTGATGCTATCAGATGAATATCCAAAAACTGTGAGGGCAGTATTTCAGCTTCCTTGATTTCAATGCTGTAATCGTATGCCATAGAAATATGGTTTCACTATATGCTTGTACATGATCAATATTTTTCTTCTTGTGAATAGACTCCACTGCAGGTTCAATTTAAAATAAACATTAAAACATAAAAGAAATAATTTCATAACTCATACCAGGCACTTTTATTAGGCACGATTCAATCATTAGACAGACATAAAATTTTCTACATAAATAAATGCAAGATTTATCAGTAATACAAAAAAAACCAAATTATATAGTAATAGATCTTTCAGGAAAAAAGCAATGCAAATATTGTAAAAACATGATTTAGCTCTATGTATACTGCTAAGTTTTATATGTCAAATTCATATATGGGCATGGTGATATTACATCATATCCATATATGGCCATATCACAGATACTTGTCACAAATCAGATTTGATAATGGAGAATTTCATAAATTGAAAAAGTCTCCTTAAGACTAGCTACTGTACTTAATAATATATTAAATTTAATCAAAAAAAATAAATAAATAAATAAACAAAAATAATTTATGTTCTGCAGTGCATGTGTTCATTTCAGAAAGAACTGTTGAAGGCACCTTTTTCCCAGGTTAGTGAACAACACATTTACTTAACTTATAAAATAGTCACGTTTAATTTAGGACTATATACCATATTCAATTCAATCAAAAAAATAAAAATAAATAAAAAATGAAATTAAAAAAATATATAAATGAAATAAATAAAAATAATTTATGTTCTGTAGTGCATGTATTCATTTCAGAAAGAATTGTTCAAGATGCTTTTTTCCTAGGTCACTGCATACATGAAATTAATCATACACAACGTGCAACTTTGTCTGCTCCCCGAGGGAGCATTCCTAGTCATCTGTGTAATTCAGCGCTACTGATTTCATTCCAAATTATTCACCTCCTACCAGTGGGACCTATTTATACTTCTGGGTGAAGGGAGGCAAACATAAGTGTCTTGCCGAAGGAAACAAGCGAATAAGCAAGTAGCATTGGTCTCGAACCCATGAATTCTCGATTGAAAACCTGGCACCATACTGATGCCCCACATAACTTCCAGCACAATATCGCTCCAATGACATAGTTTGATGGGTGAAAAATCACCAATATCGTATTTCTTTTGGCTGGTTCTAACAATTTATATTGTAATGGTCAGTCTGCTTATATATGATCAGGATGATTACATTTTGATTGGATGAATTTTTACACAAGCTCAAACACATTGCACAATTCTAATCGCACCTTATCATTAAATAATTTATGTCAACAGTAAATACCTGTAGTACATCGTAAGATGAAAATTTACCTGCAAGTCGACTAATGTAGACATTATAATTTAAACAGTGTCAGAATGTCCGACATAGTTAATTCACTGATGATATTGTAAATGTCAAAAACTCATCAACTGATAGTGATTGGATTTCTCCTTTGACTTAATTCCCCGTAGATTCATTAAGCCAACCCATTCTCTTATTCTGATCCAAGAGTGCCGAATGTAATCCTTGCAGCGACAATGTAATTTGGATTTTGTAATTAAATTTCAAAGTACGCACTTTCTCATGGGAGGATGTTAAATAATCGGGACATTCCGTTAGTTAAATTATAAAATCATTAATGTTCTTCACAAATCGTTCTAAATTGAAATGGTGGAAAACTTGTTACAGTACTGAAAAGTCGGTCGATGTATACATTTTTCACCTTAAAGTAGCGACTTGGGTAGCCATGCGGATTTAATTTGAGCCCACAATAAAGTGAAATTCTTGAGTCACATGGAATCATATAAAATTTGATTCAGATTAATTTTTTTAAACACAGCAAATTTAAGTTATCAGTTTTAACCTATCTACCGTATGCATAACACTGAGTACAGTACTGTAAACACTGATTAAAGAGTTAAACTAGTTTAAACCTGGAATTCAATTTTCTTAATCGACAATGCTTAATCAAGCATCATATCTTTAGTAAAGAATAGAGATTATTATTACATTAAAATAAAAAAGCAAAAAAAATTATTAAAAAATACATTTTAAAAAAAAGCAAAAAAAAAAAGGTTTTCCTGTAATTAATGAATAAGTCAGGGACATGTCTAAAGGTTGGAGAGAAAAAATAAACTAGAAATGTACAAGTAGAGGAAAAGAAAATAGAAAACATAATTTTAGGGTAGTCGTCAGGCAGTCTGCCCACAGCCAAACACATTAAGCTGTAAAACTTTCAGCATGTTGAAGGTGGCAGCATACGAGAAAAAGGAGGCTTGAAAATGGTGTTGAAGGAGTGGAGTAAATTTAACATTCATTTCAAACCAGATTGATTAAGAGAATAATTTTCACTTATCAGAAGCAAAGCACAAGGAAGGGAGTGTGCACAGGGTTGTAGCTGTAGAAAACTAAGGAAGGAAGGGTGATAGACATTTTAAGGGTGGGTGAAAAGGATAGAAAAGCGGGTTAATAAAGGTGGGTGGAAGGCCATGAAATTAGCTTTAGACTGGATGGAAAACTTCAAGGCTAGGTGGCTCTGCCCACCTCCGCATGTTCAGTTCATCAGGTCGTCTGTCTTACGAATCAGTGGTGACTAAACATCGTGGGCCATCAAAAGTACTTTTCATAATCTGACTAATTACAGTAAATCTTCATTAATATGTACCTTTACTACACTTCAAAGAAATAAAAAAAAAATTACCAAAAAAATGTAATATTACAAACAATATCATGAGAAATTTATTCAAAATTATACAATATCAACATAAATTTCACTGTTCAGTTATTTTATGTATGCTCTCTGTTGAGAGAGATGGCGTAAGCTGGTTTCCGTGTATATGATAGGAAATTAGGAATACAGTGTTATCAGATTACAGAGGTAAGATTTGACAAACAGATGCGACCATGTCATACTATAAACACAACTATAGATGTGTCGGAAGAATATACAGCAGACCCTCTTTGCAAGCTTAACACTACTTTGCGTTGGTAATGTGCCCTGATTTTGGTATCCACCCTATGAAATATACATCATCTCCTTTATACTGACATCTAGTACTCTATACAATATGCTCTTTATTCCTTTGTTATAATTCCCGCCTTCACCAAACTTCCTACATTTTTATTTCCCAACTTGTGTTCATGATTCTTCTACTTCCATAGGACTCCCTGACTGGGACTGTGAATCAGCCATCTTTGATATTGCCTCTGATATCGTGGTGTGGCCCAAATCTTGAGCCAGGTCTAACGGGGTAACTCCATCCATACTAGCCTGGATATCAGCGCCAGCTTCAAGTAGAACTTGACAAACTTCATTATGCCCTGCAAATATAAGTTGCAATATGTAAATAATATATGACAGCAAGAAATTGTACAGTACAAACTCTAAAAAGGAACACCTCTCTTAAGATACCGCCATTCTCTTGCCCTGGCAGAGAAATTTCTGTCCTTTCACATTGTTTGGACACTCAACATTAAGGTCAAAATTCAAATCTCATGCTGTCCTTTCACTTAAATTTGTCGTTTTTCTAGTATAATTTGGTGAGTCGAGTGGCCGAATGGTAAGGCAGGGGCGCCTCTAGCTATAGCCTTAATATCGGCACTGGTTCCAGTCGCTCCTTGCCCATGGTTCGGTTGGTAGAACCAATTCTTCTTGAATAAGGACTTAAAATGGAGGCCCAGTGTATACATCTGGCTCGTGTGCACTCTTTTGGAAGAGTAGGAGGTTACCCCGATGTTATGGTTCACTTCATCCCCTGTCGTTGTGGAATGATGTGAACATATAGCTACCATGAAGCGCATCTTTAGGTAGTCACGGACCACACCCATACGCAATTCAGCATAATGACGCTGCAAGTTATGGGTTATTCTCCTACCTTTACCTTTAAGTTTTGAGTCTCTGCACAGCTACTGAGATTAAGAATACTCCCCAGAAAACAGAACATTTGTTAAATTTTGGACCCAAAGACCAGGGGTGTAAATAATGTAGAAAATGCCTATCTTTTCAACTGTGAAAGGTGATATACACACTTAAATATATGTTTCTCTATTTACACTATTTAATTAACACAATAGTTCTTGCATATAAAAAGGAAAAACAATATGGGTACCTTGCATAACGCCAAGATGAAGAGGTGTGGCTCCATCACACTTCACATTTCTACAGTTAACATCCGCACCTCCCTTATCCAGTAGCATACGCACGAACTGTACGTTACCCGTGTTGGCTGCTGTATGCAGGGCCACGTTCCCCGAGTCTGCCGGCTTATTTACATCTGGCCTCGGCTTTGTCTGCGAACAGATTAAAGAAACTTTTGGTGCACTATAAATCTCATTAATTTTACTTTGTCATTGTGTCGTCAATATTATTACAGTTTACTATAGTACCATGTGATGTAATTATACAAGGAAACTCCACTACGGGGAAATTTCATGGCTAAATATAACAATGTGAGTGCATTACCATAGTACTGTAGTGTACAGGTACATTGAAATTTTACTGTACTCTAATATTAATAAGGTTTTAACATTTTGAAAAATAATATAATTGTGGTACAGTGTTATAAATATACTGTACGTCCAGTACAAATAACAATATGATTGTAAATAAAGAGACAAAGCTGCTAAAGACCATAAAAACCCTGGTCCCAAAAGTGATCGTTAAATTGGAGTGAGACCTGTAAATATACATGAACATTGCTACCCATACTATGGCACTACAACATTAGAAAATATATATAAATCACTGAGGTGTAAGGAGGTATCCCCCCCAACTAAACACTATGGCATCACCCATGGACCCCACCAGAAATACTCAGAGCCTTGTTGGACAACTTAACCACCCCCTCTCTTACCATCGCCATTGGTTAGTATGAGTCACTTGGTTTAAATGGGTCAGTATCTTACCTTGGTTAACAGATACAACAATGTTGTTTCCTGATTACACGTTACAGCTTCGAACACCAGGGAACGTTTTTGAGTATCCACCACATTGGGTGAGACCTTACTTGTTTTGAAATAATAATGTAGAAAATGCACATAGCCCAGTCCAGTGGCTACAAACGCTCTCTGAATGGCACTGTCTTTAGATCGAACCTCTACCGGTGGACTTTTGGCAGTGGCACCCATGGGATCATTGATCAGTCGGCGATAAAAGCTCACAACGGCACTCCAGACATTGAGTAATGCAAACGCCCTTGTTGCAAGCATCCACTGCGCAAATTTACGATTTCTGGTTGATATTTTAACATCTGTTAGAAGTTCTCTGTAAGCATCGGTTTTATCCGACGAAAGCGTGTCTAAGATGTCAAGGAATAAATAGGGTCCACGAAGGGTGCATAGCCGAGTGGGGTACTCGCGTAGAACAGCTGAAACCAACTTGCGTATATCACTGAGCTGTACCTTTTGTTGCTCAATTCCTGCCTCAAATGCAAACATGAGTTCGTCGGTGATTATTCCAACTTCGAGTTCGTACAAGTCCAATTTCTGTCTGTCAGGAACCTTGTGGAGCCAAAAATCAGCAAAGTGAACAAAATTGTTATTACAGTGGCACCAAGATGACAACTCAATGACCATTTCATTGGCACGTTTCAGAAATGATTCGACGCAAGTTTCATCCATAAACGTTAGAATACCATCAAAGTTCCCAGAAGATATTGGGCGGGTTTCATCGCTACTACTTGATGATGGTCTTGATGTTTTAAGTGGCGGTAGTGGTTTTCTAACCGATTTAAAATCAATTGAATCATTTGAACCAACGTGGTTGCAAGAAATAACTGTTTTTACCACAGAATTGGTGGCATTCTTCTGAATATTTTCAGACCTTCTGTGTTTTGATGGTTCATGTTTAGGTCGCTTGGAAGTGCTTGGTGGTTTTGGAACCTTTGGTGAATCTGGTTCATGTTTTATTTCCCGCGATTTTGTTGTACCATCGGACAAAATACTCATGGAGCTAAATGGACGAATCAAACTTTCGTCCTCACTCAATTCATCATCACTTTCACGAACTGTCAAACGCGATATGCAAACAAGATCTCGCAAGTCTTTAACGCTACGAGACATCTTCAAAAATGTTTTACAGGTAAGTATCAATAACTAATGTACTAGCATTCTTAATTTGCGTATCATTTTCTTCAAACTGGTTGCTGTTGAACATGAAGTTGCATATCTAAAGGGATGACAAAAATAGCGATCAAGATAGGCAGATGGACACGGCACTTGAAAGCGAATTGGAAAAAAAATATAAGTGTATGTGATATGAGTCTGCTATTGCTTTCTTTAGTGAAGTACATTATCTCTTTTACGATGCAACTTGTAGAACATCAACTCCTGAACACGAAAAGATAACCTGCGTAATATAAACAAAGTACAAAATCAGTAAACTGAAATAATGATGCACTTTATCATAGCCTACAAATCTGTGGAAAAATATTCATAAACACATACAAGAGTCCTTGCTACACCAGACTGGAAGGGGGACCCAATACAGGATATAAAACTAATAATTTCCTTCTAAACAAATACCATAAAACCTCGAATTGAAGCCCTGGGCTTCTATTTTTTTGCAAACTTTGGATGTTTTTCTTTTCAAGATGGGCTACTATTGCAGAGTATTAGAGGGGAGCTTCTTTTCAAAATGAATGCTGTACATTTTGTGAATTTGTATTATAAAACAATAAATAAGGCCACTGTAACATCAATCTGTATCATGGAATGTATTTACACTGGCATTAAATCACCTAAACTACTGTATAATTTTAAAGCAAGCTTGTTTTAAATTTATTTTGTTTTTTGAAATTCATGTATCCAGTGTATGTACTGTTCTATCTCGAAAAGAAGCATATGCTATCTTGAAATGAAGCCCATGAACTTCTTTTCTAGGCTAATTTTGCAAACTAAAGAGAGGGGGAGGGGGGCTTCAATTCGAGATGGGCTTAATCTCGAGATTTAGCCAACTGGGCTTCAATTCAAGGTTTTATGGTAGGCCATAGTACAGTAAGTCAATGAATTTAACATAAATTTGTAAAGTAAGGCCTGCGCTGGGAATACATCCTAGCCTCGCAAAAATTTCACACATTTCATAATAAAGGCCTGACTTAGCTTTACACTTATGGAACAACAATTTTAAAATTTGTGGTAGGTCTAGGTACAGTAGGCCTAGCTAGGCTAGTTGTTGTAGTCCCTCAACAAGTTTTTCATCAACCAAATTAGGCCCTAATCATTGTTAAAGCATAGAAGGTGAGAGTAGGGCCTCTCTGTACTATACCAGCTAGCTTGTACGTAGGCCTAGGAGGCTAGGCTAGCCTGGACTAGCCTAGCTAGGCATAGCCTAGGCCTAGTCCTTCCTAGCCTAGCTAGTAGTAGAGTGGGTGGAGGCCTAGGTAGGCTAGGAAAATCGGGGTGCCATATTTTATAAAATATTTACAACAAAAAGAAATAAGTAATACTAAGAGTCTACCTTTACTTTATGGTATCGATAAAAAATATGTGATTGACATTTTAGTTACAGTTTTCATTTTCCCAAAAAGTTATTTTTGTTTGTGATCGACCCAGCTTGGCCCTCGCTCAATATTTGAATAACAAAAAAACAAAAAAAAATTCTGAACCTTTGAAAAATATTTTATTTTATTTATAAACTAGTTTATAAAGTAAAAGTATATAAAATAGTTTATAAAATTTAAAATTTGTACCAACAATGACCGAATTAACAACAAAACAAATCTGAAAAAAAAACATGTCAAGACAACTCATGCGTCTGAGGGCGTTCAACAACAACCTTCACTTCACATCACACGACGACGACGAGACTTATGATGATTTATGAGAAATCCTAGAAGAAAATTTGGGCGGGCGGTCAACTGGTGGTCAACCAGACCATTTTGCATGGATGGCTTGGTGTTCTTTATAAGCTGGGATCCTTAACCTGTTTTATCACTAAACAGTTAGTAAAAATCATCATTAGTTATCTGTACACCTGTTGTTAGGCCTAGGACCTAGGTAGGCTAGGCTAGGCTTATTAACTTGATAATAATTAACATTCCTAGCCTAGACTAGGCCTAGGGGCTCTAGGCTAGACGCTAGAGAAGACGATCGGGTCTAACTGGTGTGGACGTCGATCGGGCCAAAACGATCCGGTCCTCCACCTATGATGTATAGACTATCAGGCCCACTTTGATTGTGATTCAATATTGTGTTCTAAATTTATCATTTTAACATAGATAGGGCCTACAGCCTACTCAAACAAAGCTATTATTGTATAATAATTGTAATTCCTAATTTAAAAATGATCTATGACCGGTTGAGCCGCCGACAAGTTGAGCCGCCGGTAATTTCTATGGAACGCCAAGCGCGTCTCTCAGTGAATGTAGTGCGTCTCTCAGTGAATGTAGTCGGCAAGTTGCCGATGTCATCCAGTGAATGAACCCCCCGGATACCAGCTACATATTCAGCCCACAGTCTTGTCAGTCGTTGATTTGCTCGTATTGCCGTTCGTGATGTATAATTGTGTAATTGAAAATTAGAATTTTGATATTTTTATGTACTACATTTTTATAAAAAATATATGAAGTTGTATAATTGCAAAATCGTAAAAAAATGTAATTTTATGTACTACATTTTTATAAAAATAAATGAAGTTGTATAATTGCAAATATAATTTTTATTTTTGTACTATTTGTTAAACTTATATATAATAAATGATAAGAATGTATGGAGTACATTTTTTTTTACTATCTGGCAAGCTGACTGAGCAAATACTCACAAAATTTAAATTAAAACAATAGAAAGAACAAGTAAATAAATTGAAGTCCCAAAAATATTTAATAAATCAGTGCAAAAACCGAGTATTAAATAAATTGAAATAATTGAGTAAATAAACTGAAATACATCCCAAACAACAGTACCAAGAACGAATAATAATTGAAATACGCCGCAATTAACGCACTACATTTACTGATAGACGCGCTTGGCGTTCCATAGAAATGACCGGCGGCTCAACTTGTCGGCGGCTCAACCGGTCATAATCCGGCCTAGGGTAGGCTAGTTACAAGTAGAGCACTGCGCAGCGGATAGCGTCGTTAGACCTTAGCTAGACGCAGTAGACAACATATGATGTATGATCTTGCTATTATACTGTAATTAATGTATTTGTAAACATTGAAATAGCTTTTTAAGACTAACCCAGGTATTCTTAAAACAAACTTTAGTCGGAGTTCGAGCTAAAACTTAAAAATGACGTCATTTCGTATTCTTAAAATAAACTTAGACTAGCACTATGACTAAATGACGCGACCTCAACTAAAATGATTCCTCCGCAGGCCGATTTTTTTAGTCAGGCTAAATCGCCGACTTGAAATATTTTATCCACTAAAAACATGTTTTTTGTAACTCACGATAAAGTGAAACGAATAAAAACGATTGTATACTCAGATTCAGGATATCTTCGGTGTGTTAAACAAAAGAGACATCAATTTTATCCCTTCCAAATGGAGAACTGGGGTCATTCTGTGTCAAATTAACCAGATTTCAAAAAAGTCCCTGTATGACCCTCTCAGATTTTGATGAAAATCCATAAAAAGGAACCCTTATTTTCCAAAATGTGAAGACCGATTTCTAGACCAAATTTTTGCGCAGAGGATAAATTCTCCGCGCAGGCTTTACTATACAATCTGATATAGTTATGAGGTACATACAGAGCGTATAATGTTTCTTAATGATGTGTTTTTTCAATCAATCATAAAATGATGTTGCTTAAAGACGATCGGGCCCACAAGATGTTCGGGCCATGGAAGCTCTGCCCCGCCATTGGCATTGCATGTTGTTCTTTTGAATATATAAATAATAATACTATTTGTCCTAGGAGTATAATTTATATGTTTCCTATTAATCATTCGCAATCTCAATTTATACGATGTATTTTGTATTTGATATCCTGTTTATATTTTTGATATTTGAAATAAATTTGATCTTTGGAAAAAAAAAGTATAAATATGCATCTTGACATAAAAATAATGAAAAGACTATGGGAAAGGTAAACATGTTTTATTTTTGTCAATTCGCCAAGGGGAGCCTAGGCCGGGAGTAACAATAATGTAGTAAGAAGAAACAAGTGAAATTTTAAGTTCAACAAGCTTAAATTTCTCAATGGTAATTGATATGAAAAGCCTATTTATTTGTTAAGTAGGATAGTGTATATTTTACTAAAGACAATTGAAAAAAAAACACACACAACACACTGTACCCCGGATTTTCTGCTGTGAACTGATTCACAGCCAAAATGGTGTTTAGTAAGGCCAAGCTACACTGTAAAGTTTTTTAATCGCTGGATGATTCCACAAAAATCAGCTCAAATTTGCGTGGAAATCCGCTAGGATAATTGGTGCTCAGAATCATAATAACTGCATTATACATTGTTTATATATTTAAGTTAAGGTCAAAGCCTAATTTTTGGCAAAATCTATGCGGAAATCAGCCCATATTTTCTGTAATGTGTGGACGAATTTCTAGGCCAAATTTTTGCACTGAGGATACATTCCCTGCGCAGGCCTTGTTCTACAATCTGGAGGCCAAGTAGATAAAAAGTTTTTACAAGTGGTTATAAAAACCTTGAATATCTCGTAAACCAACTCAAGTTTGTGCAGAACTATGAAAATAGGTGCCAAGAATCATAACTACTGCCTTAATACATTGGTTAGTTTAATAAGATGTAGGACAAAGCGTATGTTTCTGCAAAAAGTGTGCGAGAATCAGCCCTTAGTTTTTCGAAAGGCATGGACAGAATTCTAGTTCTGGGCCTAATTTTTGCAATTAATTCCCCATGCTAGCCGTATTTGTGGCAAAGACAAGCCAAAACCAGTCACTTGTCACAAAAATCAATTTTTTAGTTATTAATACAGGGTTTAACAGTAAAACGAGAGCTATAAAATGGTAAAAAAAAATTTAAATCTGACATTTCATAAAGAAGTTACAGGAGTTAAACCTACAGATGTTTGAAGAACAATATTTGAGATATCACCCTTCAAAGTTTTCGATTTCGGGACATTTCTTAGGCAGAAACCATCACTAAATCATTAAAAATTGTTTGAACATTGAAAATGCGGAAAATAACAGCATAACATGATGTATAGATATATAAAGATTAGTTTAGTGCAGTAAAATAGATAATTGAAAAGTTTGACATTCCAGCATGTTTTCTCCATTAACTCCGAAACAGGATTTGCCACGAGTGACTGGTTTGGCTTGTCTTCACCACATTTTACAGTCTGGTCTCAGTCTATTGGTTTTCACTTGAAGCTGCTTTCCATAACCTTTTGTACGCAAGTTTAGTTTAACATACTGTTCTTATTTCAGGGCAACATTATTATTATTATTATTATTATTATTATATTATGAGAGATCAAAGAAGATCCTTGTTTTGTTTTTCACAGCTCCTTTTAGATCCACCAAAGGAAAGTTTACACTCAGTAAACCATTTTCATGAGCAACCCATTCAACAGTTTATTCACTTGCAAATTCTAAACAATTATGATATCAGTCCTTGATACTGGATAGTATTGTTAAATCTAACCACAAGCTCTGCATTGCATTGCTTACTTCTTTCCTGTTCAGCGAATGCCATTTTTATATTTACAAAACACTGTTTTAAACAAGACTCTGTTTACAAAACACTGAACATTGTAGTACTCTATTAAAATTAGTTTTATTTGACATGGCACATAACATATATATTAATCATTACCATTATTAGCTTAGTGGAACTACGGCAAGCTGAGAGAATACTATAACATAAATCATAGTCAATAAACTGTGATGAGAAGAATTTCAGTAAGAGGCTAAAAGCCAGAAGTCAGTTCAAAATATAATAAGGTTCTGATAAGACTGATTAAAAATTAAAGTACTAATACCATATTAGCTAGTAAAAACAATTTAAAAAATATTGTTCCACACAAACATTTAGCGGTGGAGGTATTTTTGTAAGATAATTTTCACAATATTTTTTTCTACATGCCTGAAAAACAACTAAAAATAAAATTGAGTTTTATTAACCCATCGTAAATGGTATTTAATATTTTCTTTTTCAGCTTGTCAATAGTTATATTAATTCAAGATGGTGGATTCTATGAAGTCAGATGCTCTTAGTAAGTTAGAGAGCATGTTTCCGCAGAGCGATAGTGAAACCTTGAAATCATTAATTAATGTCACCATGAAGTCTACTGCCCTTTTGGACCTCGAGCAGTTAGTGGTGCGATGCGTAAACACTCTTCTCTTTACGAATGATGATGCTTTCCCCGGAGATACCGTCCCTGAACAGGTCGTCATCGAAGACAGCGGTAAGACGCAAAGCAGTTAAAGCACATTTTCTGTGAAAATTAATCTTTATGAAGGTAGTTGCACGTCCTTTTGGCAATGGTGGGTTTCCTGTTTGCGTCTCCCGGGCAGTGATGCCAAATTAATGAATAATTATTTAAATAAAATGCTTTTTTTTTTGTAATATGTATAATGACTACCACTATAATTTCTCTGTGGTAAGCCCACCCACTCTCTTGTACACAAAACGGGTCCAATTTTTAGGGGTGGGCCTATACTTGGGAAATCCCCTTTCTAATCCAGTGGCAATTTTCAGTACTATACAGTATGCCTAATTCAAAGCCAATATTTGATGTTTTTCTCTGAGAATGTTTTGAAAAATTATTCCCTGGGCTATTTGCCCAAGGAAACATGCCTTAAATTTGGGCTTTTTAGGGCAAGGCCACTTTTACCAGTTAATTATTAAGGGTATCATTGATATAAAAAAAAAAGACATCAAGGGCAGTATATCACAAAATAACACCTAATGTATTGCTGGATTTTTAGGGGATCAAGGCCAAACTAGCCTGAACTCAAGCAGAGGTAATTTTTGTAGGGCATGCAAGCCTGTTAGGAGGATACTGGAAGCACTGGCCTTGGTGACCTGTCATTAAATTTGAGGCCTAAAATGGGTGTATACACTAGGAACTGGATTTATTCGGTGTAAACACTAAAGGATAGCCCACGAAAGTCTAGAAGAAGACTTATTTCCAGTGGGGTCCTTTTGGTGATGATTGGGCAGTACACCAGGAGACAATCCCCTACTCTTTTTCGAAGAGTGTACTGCGTTCTTTAACGTGCACATGGCCATAAATGCACACGGGACCAACGGCTTGAACGTCTCATTCGAAAGACGGTGCGCTAATTGTAACTTGTATTTCAGCCCTCCAGCTGAAACACAAGGAGAGGCAGCGATGGGAATTGAACCAGGGACCTAGAGATCTCCATGGTTCAGCGCACACACAGTGGCTACCACCGGATTAGCTGACTGAGCTAAGCTCCTCTCTATGGTTTGAATTTAAGTGCATAGAGAAATCTAGTTTTTTTATTATTTGCATCCCAGGGTAAAGAATAATACACATTTATTAAAAAAGGTTTATGTTTTCATTCAATTTTCTTGCCCATGAAACTGTTGAATTTGTAGATTTACATATTATATTTGTAATATGTAAATTTGTAGATTTACATATTAGATTTGTAATACTGTATGTAAATTTGTAGATTTACATCTTAGATTTGTAATATGTATTATCTCCCTTGAGGACATCAAGATTATTCATCATATTCATATACATATTCATTCCAACTCTTTCACATTTTAACCATTTTTAAAACTGCACTTCTGTTTGTTGAAGTCCAACATACAGAATGTAACACATAAGCAAACACTGCCTCATATAATTAACTACTATGCTTTCATCTAACTAATAATTGATAGTTCTTCACCTAACTGGTTCCAATTGCTATTTAAGGAAACCTTAGATATTCATCATTTGAACCCTAAATTAATCAATGGAAACAGATTTCCTCCATGATTAAACCATGGACCTATTAATAATAGGTTCATGATTAAACTGTAGTCTCAAAGCATAAAGAGAGTTGGAAATTGTTTACCTGATATTTAATCCAACCCACTCAGTTTGTCTCTTGCTTAATCCCCTCATTTGCATATTGTAGCTTTTTTTTGTAATCACTCATTCCTGAAGATGACCCAATAAAGGTTGAAATGTTGAATCATGGCCACCCTCTCTTTATTCAGAGTAATCACACGGGTGAGTGGGCTGGGCTGTAGGCTAGGCTGGGCTGTAGGCTAGGCCAGGCCAGGCTAGGCTAGGCCACCAGACGGGATTGATCTACAGTACAAGATATTTTAACTTTTTATCTTTTTTTTTATATTGTAGACTTGCCAGATTGTTCTGATGTAATTGTGATTAACGACAATGATGAGCAAGATACAAAGTTACCCATAAAAAATGAAGGTTTAAAAGAAAGAGAAGCACAAAATTCCATGCAATCCGGCATTAATTTACCATCAACGGATATTCAGGATCTGTGGAATGACGTGGAACATATCATTGGGAAAACGGAAACGAAAAAGGACCAAAGTTTCATGGAATCAAATTCAAAATTAAAAGAATGGGATTTTTCGTATGACGTGGAGACTATCTTTGGTAAGACGGGTACCTCGAAGGAGATAACAACTGAATCTGTAGCGACATCAGACAGCAACAACAGTGGCACCGATTGTACCCCTCCGAGAAAGAGAGTAAAACGTCCAGATGCAGATGACATCAATGAGCATATGCCAAACAATGTTGCGCAATCAAATGACTTTCAATTTGGAAAACAGAATGAACCTCAAGGACAGAGTTCACAGTTCAACTCAAAACCTCAATTAATATCAGGTCAATATGAGGTTACCTCACCCTTTGGTACCAGGTTTGCACCAGGCTCAGTTTCTCTGGTCAATCAAGTCAATAATAATAGAGCAAATGACTTAAGACATGGAACGAAAGGCAGTGGTGAGTTCATACCCCATAGTTCAAGCCTTCAGTCTGTAATGCACGTCCCGTATAAAGGTCTTCCCGACAGGAAATCGTCATCTACTGCCTCTTGTACCGTCTCCAGGCATCCTGACAGCAATAGCAGTTTTACCGGAGCAAGCGGGTATACCGGAGCTAGCGCACACTCCTTTATTTTGAATGAGTCAAAATCTTCCATCAGTGACTCGTCAAAACAAACAAAAAATTCACCATTAAATGCTGCGTCACATCACAGATTTGATTGGCAGAAGGCAGATCACGGTAATGTACCACAAGCATCGTCTGGACATACAACGATGATTGGAGCATCCAATCAAAGCGAAAATTCTTCTTTTAAGAAATTCGACAGAAATTCACATGTAATGCAAAGTCAGTTCGATGGAGCAAATTCTATGAACTTAAAATATCCAGGTGGCCTTAATCCTTTCGGTAACCAGGGGCACAGTACTAACGATGACCAGCCTTATGACATGGTGGATGGTGAAATTCCAATGCATACCAATGTAAAGATGGACAATGGTAACAATGAACATATCAGCAGTCAGGTGAATCTAAACGGACAATCGTATGTAATTAATCAGGTGAATATTAATGACCCGGTGAATACTGCTAATCACCAGGTGGATCTCAGTGCCCAAGTTAGCACAGATCACATGACACCAAAGATTATTGAAATCCCAGGGCACTCCCATCTCAATGCATGTAGAGACCAACGGGCGGTCTATGCTGACCAGGTACGAAAAAATATTCTACAGGCAAGGATGAATAACCAGATGCAACCAAATTACCAAGTGCATACCAATCAGATGACACCAGAGATCTGTAATAACCAAAAGCGCTCCCGTCTAAATGCATATAGAGACCAGCGGGAGGTCTATACTGACCAGGTACATACAGGAAACCTACAGGTAATGATGAATAACCTGATGCAACCAAATCACCCAGTGCATACCCATCTCCATCCAAATGCAAATCAACACATGGCCATTAATAACCAGGTTCATAACCAAGTTCACACCAACCACCCAGCAAATACCAATCAACCGGTGGCCATTAATAACCAGGTGCACCCTAATCACCAGGTGGCCGTTAATGAACAGGTGCATGCCAATCTCCAGGAAAATGCCAATCAACCGGTGGCCATTAATGACGACCTTATGGCAGTTGCTGTTGAACTACCAGGAGAAATGACTATTGATATACAAATGGTTGAAGTGGTAAGCTGCACTATTTCTCATGGTTTCATTTTTGTTTTAATAATAATAATAATAACAATAATAATAGTAATAATAATGAAAAGCTTTGGTTTGCTTGAGCTCAACTTTTATTTGAAGTCATGGCTTGGTGGTTATGGATCCCATATGTTCAATTCATAAAATTACACTACCAGGAAAAAAACCACCTATACTTAAAATAATTGTAGAGTTTAACTTGCCTAAGTCGAATCCAAAATGGAATTGAAAAAAATTTCAACTTAGATAAAATTTGACTTACAGATTGTTAATTAATGGAAAACACAACAGTTTGGCATGTAAAATAAGATCGACTTAAAATTATTAGAGATAGGCAAAGTCTGTTATCCCACACAATATCTAAAGGTAATCTATTCATTGAAGTTGATTATCAAGGACACTTAATTAGAAGTTCCTTGTGATTAGAGCCTTGAGAAGCTCCTTTGTTTTTTACTTCTTCACTTTTCCTAGATTGAGGGCCAACTTTATATTCAAAGGCTTCGGCCCGGGACGGATGTGGAGTACGCATTCTTACAACTTACTTCTCCCTACTTATTAACAATAACAGGGGATGTGAGATGGACCAGTACATGGGGGTAACACCCTACTCATCTAAAAAGATGTACTGGGTTCATTAAAGTGCACATTTTAAGCCAATTGTGTACGCTAGGCCTACGGTGTATAGTCCTTATCCGAGAAGACTTGCTCTACCCCCTGAACCATTGGCGAGTGTGCCTTAACTGCTCGGTCATTTGTGACCCAAGATCATAAACGGGCTGTAAACTCGCACTGCGCTATATTGAGAAACAAGCATCAATAGGCTTATAACATGAATTTTGTGTGAATTGGGATTTTGTGTAATAAATAAAGTATAACTATTATCCTTACTATTCCTGAAGTTTGAGTTTAAAATTCCAACTGTAAAAGGTAAATTTAGCCATTTTCGGATGGGAGTTGGTAAAAAATGAATAGAAACCTGCCGAAAAAATAAAGCATTTTTCTCAAAACTTCATTTAAGAAAGTTGATAAGATGATAATTATTCAAACGGTCGTAACTTTGCTTCCAGACACCTGATTGAGTTCATTTAACTGTCGTTTTAAAGTAAATGATATGTTCTATGCCACCATTATAACAAGAACTCATTTTGGCCTGAGGACGAGTTTATAGCCCTTTTATGATCTTGGGTCACATTTGACTTTTGGAGATTTAGTTTGTGTAAAGCATCGTGTGTGTATGTTTGTCTTGTGTAAGGGATTGTCACCTACAAGTAGGATAGTGATATATTCGCTGTTGACAATCCTTGGCACATGTATTGTGTGCCTAAATAAATAAAATAAATAAATAAATAAAAAATAATAAATATGTTTTTTGCCAGGAACTGGAAATTCATAATCACCAAAACCACAACTCCACTCCAACATACTGTAAGGCTCTGTCCACACTATTAAATTGTGTGACTATGCCAATTGTGCACGTGGTGATGTCATAGGATACCCATATATGGACAGATTTTGGGCATTTGTCATGTAAAACTTGACTATGAATTACGCAAAATGGAAAATGATATAGATAATTAAAAAGATCAAATTCATGAGGAAGTACCTAACAATTGCATTTATGTTTTCCACTTTCATTTCTCGAAAAAGAATGAGAAAGTTGCATGATTGCTGGGCGGCTTGTGCTTGGTGCCAGAGTTGACTGTTCTATTATTTTTCGAGGGGTGTTCTCATTGTATGAGAACGATTAGGTAATTTGTCGGTTTATCCAGGTAAGTTATTCACAAAGTAGACTTGTGAGAAAGTACCTAACAATTGTGTTTATGTTTTGCAGATGAACCTAATTCCTGACATCCAGTTGGAATTCTTGCGAAATAAATTAAAAGAATTTAAAGAAGTGAATAACGAGCTTGCGGTCCAGAGGGCTGTTAATTATCTACTGGAAAATCCATATCCTAAACAAAGCAAAGACGTACCAAAGGCAAGTGAAAAAAGCGTGTGAGCTAAAGTCTGGTTTCTGTAATCTTGCAGCAGTCGCTAAGCCCAGCCCATGGGATGTTGTTGCTAAGGTCCCAGAAAGCATAGGCTTAGCCAGCGAGCCGTCCGGCCATCTTTTGGACAGTCTACAATTATCTAGGACGGCCACTTTTACCGAAACGTCTTGGACAGCTTGGCCTAATCAGCTCGGCCTAATCAGCTCGGCCTAGCATATTGGGCCTGGTCTACCTTTAGCAAATATTCTTCAAATCTATCGAATGTTGAATTAAACTAAAGCTAAATCCTATATACATTTGATAAAAGCAACATTTATTGATTGATTGTACATTGTTTTCGTACCGATATTCGATGGGGATTCCCAAAGATGGGCGTGGCCCGCCCATCGGCTCTGTACCACGCCCACTGGCTTCCATTTTGGACGGCCTATTTCGTTTTTCTGGCTAAACCCTTGCCACAAAGCAACACTGTTAAAACCTACGCAAACTTGCGTTTGAGGAACAGCACATGTGTTTGTGAGACGCCCACATATTTCCTGACGTCGTTCTTATTATCAATTATCTGCCTAGAGGCATGCTTTTGTCTGTCTACAACAACAGGGCCAGTTGGACCAGTAAAACCTGTATTTCTTATTCCTAAACCTTTAATCACACTACAGAAGATTACTGTAGAATTCATAATTATTGAGTTTGTGCATTATAAAAAATTAAAACTTCCATTACAGAAAGCAAGGGATCAATCCGAAGAAACCGATTATTTCAAAGATTTCAGTCGGATGCCATCTTTCGATTATCTCAGACAAGTGGTCTGTGTGATGCAAGCTCGACATTCTAAGGTAATAATATCAAAATAAAAAAACAAAACAAAACAAAAAGGAGATGTTTGTTAATAAAAAAAACATTAAAACATTTCTTTCCAATCAACAGTGGTGTATCTAGGGGGTCCAGCGAACCCCAAAAAACTTTCATTGTCTCCCTAATTGAAAATTTCCAAAGCAAAAACATCGTTGAAATTGTGAAAACCACCTCATATCACTTTGTTTTGCGACCTAGCGCCCCCATATGTAATCATTAAGTCCCCACTCAATTCCTATCGCTGCTGTCCTTGTGATTCAGCTAGAGGGCTGAAATGCAAGTTACGATAGCGCACCGCCTTTCTGATGAGACGTTTAAGCCGTTAGTCCCGTCTGCAGTATAGCCTGTGTACACATTAAAGAATGCAGTGCACTCTGCAGAACAGGTTAGGGGATTGTCTCCCAGTGTACCACACAATCACAACCAGAAGGACCCCACTGGAAATAAGTCTACTGCAGGCTTTTGTGGGTTGTCCTTGGTGTTTACGCCGAATAAATCCAATCCAATTCACTCAAACTTTGCATCCTTATCAGCACCCCCGTTTTAAGACTTTTAGATATGCAACTGCTAATCAATGAAAAAACGAGAGTTACTTTTGAAATGAGGCCTGCTTTGCTCGCTGTGGGCTTCGTTTGGACTGTTTCATATTACATAATGACCTAAAAACATGGTTAAAATTTAACTGTCTGACAATGTGCAATTAAGTTCTGTAATTGTCTATCTGAATGTTAACAGAAAGCTGTTTTCAGAATATAAAAGTAGACTGTGGGGAAATAGATTGTCTAATTGAGGATCAATTAAATGTTGATGTATTGTCTCAGAAAGTGCCTTGTAAAGGAGCCATCAAATAATATCTTACATATTAAAGGTGGCAATATAGTTTTGATGTTCTTTTTTTTTCAGTTGTCAACAAAATTTCTGAGAGATATTCTTCAAATCTACAACTACCACTTTGCGCCGGCTGAAAAATCAATACAAGAAATAATACGGGCGCACAAGACCCTTTCAGAGTGTTTATCGTTATACAGTAAAATGACGTACGAGGGCGAAGTGAAGTTAACCGTAGGAAAGAGGGACACAAGCCTGCGAATCAAGACACTAAAATGCCGTCGTTCTTCTCAAATGCCAAGAGAGATCAGTAGGGAATTACAAAATGAGATTGATTTCTATGAGATGCACGTGATGAAAGAATTAGAGGTTCGTATTTTGTGTTTTTTTGGGTCTGCGCAAAGCTCCGACCCCAGGGCCGCACTGCTGTTCTTGTTCTTGTTACCAAAACTTTAGAAGCGTCCATGTGTTGACCGGACATTATAACCACTACACCACAAGACCTTGGTTTGAACAGTGTTATCTTTCCTTCATATTGCCTATTAGTCAAAACAGGAAGATGGTGAAACAACCTACATTTTATCTGTAATGATGTTGTTAAAGAATATGAACGTATATGTTTGTTACGTTTTATCATATGTTCACATTGCATGTAGTAAGTCAAGGCAGGCAGATGGTGAAACAACCTCCATTTTAATTTATCTGTAATGATGTTTTCATTCATTCCATTCATAATTTTCAGCCTGCCTTTATTTAAATCCTTAGGCCACTGGCCTATAGATAATAATGTTACCAAACAATTACCTTCTAATGAGGACTTTCTTTTTTTAAGTGAAAGGTTTAGCCAGTTTGACCTGGGATTGATGTGGGATTTCTCCAGTGATATCTACTCAACAAAGATTCCCTTTATATGAACACATATGTTTGTTATGTTTTGTCTTTCTTTCACATGAGTAAGTCAAGATATGAAGATGGTGTCAAACAACCACTGTTTTATCTGTAAACATGTTAAACAAAAATTAATAGATATGTTTTGTTATTTTTCCTATTAAGTTCACATTGCCTCTGAGACGAGACATATACATAAAGAATGTGTAAGTGCAAAGAAGGTGTTGATGAATATGGTACAGTCATATCAAATATCCAGTGCTTATGTCATTATTGTTTATTTTTTCATTAGAATAAAGATAGAGAATTTGCAATCACATTGAATGGACAAGAATATGAACAGGTAAGAATCATTTGTTAAGGTGGGGAGGAGGGTGGCGGAAAAAAAAAGTGGTAGAGGGAGGTAGTTGGGGAAAGGAAGGTAGGAGAGAAGAGGAGGATGTTTAAGTAATTTTTTTTTTTACAATTTCCTTCCCTAAATTTTTATGTAATGAGATTTTGGTAGATCTGAATTGTTACATTGTTAACAGGCATTAAAGAATACTGTAAATGCAAAATGTATTACATACTGTACTAAGCAGAAGCATTCTACCTTTATTTAGGTATACATTTTGCCCTCCAATTCGAGACTACTTTGGAACATGCAAATTTGAGTTGGTCTCGAGGTTGGGTGTCCACTTAACAGGATTAGCTTTGTGTTAAAAGATTGACGATGGTTATTTGTTTCTTTTATAAAAGTGGTCTCAGAATTAGAATGGTCTCATTGGAGGGTGTACTTTCTTTTTATTACTGGTTTCAATGTCTCTTTAGGAGGGTCAACTGATCGAGTGCGGATGCTGCTATGGTGAGGTGCCATTTGAAGATATGATCCAGTGCTCTGACGGGCATTTGTTCTGCTCCACTTGTATGTGTAGCTATGCCAAAGAAGCTATATACGGCTCCGGTAAACTCAAACTCTCCTGTATGACTGACGGATGTGAAGCTGGCTTTCCAAAAAGTAAATATTATATCTTTACCAAATATAATGATAATCGGCTCTGATATTAAGCTAAGATCATAGTGCTTAATTATTATGACATTATGCCCATATGGTTGTGGTATGACATCATGCCTATATGGTTGTGGTATGACATCATCATGCCCATATATGGTTGTGGTATTACTTCATCATGCACATATGATTGTGGTATGACATCATGTCCATATATGGTTGTGCTATGACATCATCATGTCCACGTAGGTTGCAGTATGACTTCATAATTCCAATATATGGTTGCAGTATGATTTTGTCATGCCCATATATGGTTGTGGTATGACATCATTGTGCCCATTATGGTTGTGGTATTACTTCATCATGCCCATATATGGTTGTGGTATGACATCATATCCATATATGGTTGTGCTATGACATCATCATGTCCATGTAGGTTGCAGTATGACTTCATAATTCCCATATATGGTTGCAGTATGATTTTGTCATGCCCATATATGGTTGTGGTATGACTTCCATCATGATATTCATTGCATTTTGTAACCAAATTCTGGCAGCTTGAATATTTTCACTTGTAGGACAATTGTATCAATTTATGCTTTCATGATTGTGTACTATAAGGTTGCCATGAAATTTGTAAAATTTTATGACCCAATTCTGAATACTCATATTTACAGGTCAGCTTGATAAATGCCTACCAAAAGATATGATAGCCAAATACGAAGACCGTCAGAAAGAAGAATCCTTGAACCTTGCCGGTATTGATGATCTTGTTAAGTGTCCATCCTGTGAATTTGCTGCCATTATGGACTCAGAAGACAAAGTATTTAAGTGTCAGAATCCAGAGTGCCTTAAGGTATGCGTGGGTACCAGGTTAGCAAAAACTACACCTAGGGGCTTTGGTTTAATGAGCTTTCTAAAAACATATTTTATTTTGCTGCGTGGGATGATGCCCAATGTTACCTTCACGGAGGCATTTTGGTGCTTTTAATTGCACGACGGTAGTATGACGTAGAACATAATGACGTCACTAAGGAGTGCTGAATCCTTGTCGCAATTTGGCTCGAATCTACGTTGTGCATAGAATGTAGGATGGTCATGGATTCACTTCTCTACATTCTCTGCACAACGTAGGACTTCCATGGATGGGTGAATCTGCTATATGGTTGCATCATCGCGCAATTTCAAAGCTCCTTAATGGTACAGAAGTGAAAACATGCAAACATTCTGAATTTTCAACACTCAAAAAAATTGGGGATGTCAGCATTTCCTCAACAGGTGATCGATCATTTCCTGCAGGATGGACCACCTCTATTTTAGCCCCACCATGGCTGCAGCTGAGGTGTCACCGAGAACGGTGCCAGATGCCGAGTCCTAGCCCACCACTGGCACCTCCCCTGCATTGAACCATACTTTTCAATCAATCAGTCAAGTATTTGTAAAGTGCCAATATCCACAGCAGAATGCAACGTTCAGTGGCGCTATGACAATGGCATTACTCAAAGTGTACAATGACTTCTGAGGATAATTAACAATAAAATATAATTGTAAAATTACAAACAAAAAAATTACATGTGTGTCAAAACACTTAGTATGAGATGGAGAAGAGATAAGAGATAACTTTTTCATTAAGATACTGATAGAAGATGAGGTTTTGATCTCAAGAGGTAGGGCATTCTTAGTGTAAGGGCTGCACATGAGAATGTACATGTACAAATTATTTAATAATTATTTTGTTTTTGTTTTTTTTCATTTAGGAATCTTGTCGCTACTGCAAGGAGAGTTGGAAGGACCATTTTGGTTTGCCATGCAGCGAAATCGAGAGGAAAGACGAAACATCTCTAAGGGTAACGTACGAAGAGAGAATGACAAATGCAAAGATGAGGACTTGTTTTAGATGCAAGACAGGTTACATGAAAAGTGATGGATGCAATAAGGTAGTTACCAATGGCTCTACTAAGAGGTCATTCACAATTACATTTTTACAAGTGTACAAACGGTACTTTTTTTCGGTACCCCCTCTGAAAGTGTACTTGGTTGCTTAAAAATTAATAATTATATCCATGGTTACATTATAATTTTACCATTATTATACATATTGCATGTTATTTTGAATCAACATTTTAATGCATGTATAAAAGTGTACAAATTTGTCCACGCCCTTCCCCCTAGCTTACAGTTTGTACTCTTGTGAAAATGTTGATAAATTTAATTCTTAACGCATGGGAGATTAGGCGAGACCTTGTTTAGCATTATTGGCCTGTCATCGGCCAATAGTGATGATTTCAAATAAAAATTAATAAGCAAACCTGCCCCACAAAAAAATGGAAATTTTAGAAAATAAATAAAAGTTTTTATTCATTTTTATTACGCCTACCACTGCTTTGAAATCTCAAAAAATAAGAAATGTATATTTCTTCCTAATTATATATATAAATTTAAAGCATTTAACTATCCAATTACTAAACTGTTTACATTCGACAATAACATTTTATTTTTATTTTCTCCTTTTTCTTGATGTTTTTGGCAAAAATATTTGCTAAGTAAGAAAAATTTTTTTCCACCCTCATTTAATGATGTTTGAAAAAATAATTTCTGGAAATAAGATATAAATAAGTTATAGTTGATTTGTACATTCAGACGCAGTATCCAGTTTAATAATAGATTTTTTTTTTTCAATTTCAGTTTTCTTTTACCTGTTTACCTTTTTTGGTAAAAGTTTGCTAAATTTAAATAAAAATAATGTTTGTGTATTTCTTGCCATTTAGTTTTGATCCAACATCAAGTGACTTGGAAACTACATATTTTTTTGTGACTTAAAACATACTCCACTAAGTATATATATGAGGTTTGCCATTCCAAAACCAGCACCTTTGACCAAAATAAGAAAATTGGCTTTTAATATATCCTTATTCTCCACATTATGCTTAATCATTCCACATTATACTATTCATTCCTCATTATACTATTCATTATACTATTCCACATTATACTGTACATTATACTATTCATTCCACATTATACTACATTATACTATCCTTATTCTCCACTGTACTTCTTTCAAAAGTTGTCAATATGTATTTATCTATATCGTGACGAATTTTTAATAAATAAATAAATAAGCTTTAAAATGATGGTCATTTACTGGAATCGACTTAATATTGCCAAAGTTATGAGTAAAAGTATTAATTCTTTTCTGTACTAAAGTATACAATACATTAGCACATTCTTATGCTAATTACTCAGTCTAATACCCCATTCAGACTAGCATCGCATTGCGATCAGTTGTAGCAATTGCGACACCCAATCGCAAAGTAAAATCATGTGTGAAAGCTCACCAATAGTAGTCGATATGTAATCGATATCGCAATTGTTACCCGTTGCAATTGGGTGCTACAATCTTTATTACTCACGATTACCACGGAATCTGATCGCAACGAATCACAACAAATTCCACAGGCACTGTTTGGCTGAGGTCAGGCAACATAGGCCTAGACACTGGAGGCCTAGGCCCTAGAATGTGAAGTTTGCTTGTGTTGGTCTGAATGGGTTCGTTTATTGCGATCGGGAATAATCAGTTTTGGATTACCACCGATTACATCGCAACCGATCGCAAGAGAGTGTAGTCTGAATAGGGTATAACATTTAGGGACAGTATGCTGGTTTTGGGATGGCAGGCCTCATATGAACAGCGATTACTAGGGACCAGAAATTTGAAAGAATTATCACGGTTCACCAGGTTTTTACACACTGTGCTACACACAAGTTTAGCCAACTGACCTAATGTACATTATAATGCCTATGTGATACTAATTTTGTATTTTTTTTCCCTCCACTAAATTTACTCTAGATTACTTGTCGGTGCGGTGCTAAGATGTGCTACATCTGCCGTAAGCCAAACATCGACTATAATCACTTCTGCCAACATGTCCGAAACCCTGGTCAAGGGTGCACCACCTGCGAAGCCTGCTCCCTGTGGAGCGACTCCAAAGAGGATGATGAGAGAGCAGTTAAAGAAATACAAAAACAACTACAGGAGGAAAGACAAGCAAAGGGTAAGTAATAAAATAATTTATTTCGATTTATGATATATGTAATTGTTGTTGTTAGTTTCATTTTTATAATAGCAGTGTAATAATATTAAGTAACTGAAATTTGAGATGAACTATTATTTCAACGCTTATTCTATGTATTTCACTGGGTACATCCTATTGTAACCCAGTATCCCAGTATTGTTGTCCAGCCATGTTCTCACCTGTCCATTCCTCATTCAACCTTTTGGTATCAAAGGGCTGTTGTCACCGAGGCCAGGTTCTGCCTAAAGCTGCATGTATAATGACACGACAATGACACAATAAAAATGCGCTCCCTGTTGAAGGATATAAACGATGCGCCGATATGTCATCATGTCATTATCGTGTCTTGTGTAAATGTAGCTTTAGGCTCATTGCCACGTTATGCAAGTTAAGCTCGGTTGCTATAGAATGGTTTACCCTATCGGCGACAGTCTGGATGCCTTCCCGATTGCATCAGGGCAGCTAGCAATGCACCCGGATTCGTCTGCAACGCAATCAGCAAAGTTGAACCAGGTTTAAACTTCACCAACAGCTGTCAGCAACTGTCACCGATGGGGTGAGCAATTCTATGGAAACGGAAACCTAATGCCTCTGATATTCTCTTTCTTACCATGGATGTTGCTAATGCTAAGATGTGTGCTAATCTCGTACAAACAGACCATAGCAATTTTCCCTAGCATGCTTCCCTGATTTGAACTAAACCCAGACATCCAACATATTGAATTGATTTTTTTTTTCTTAAAGGATTTGATACGAGCAAGAGCGCTGGAGGTACCGTGCCATCACGGGAGCCTGAACCATCTGTGGCAAACCAACTCATTTTTGGACTGAATATGCCCCGCCCGCAACCTGTAGTACAGCACCATCCATACATCAACTAATATTTGATACTTAAGAGTGTATATTAAAAGGGGAAGCTTCAAATGGACAGTACAACACACAATTTTATTCAGGAAATGTTTTGTGTATTTTTATTTTTTGAACCTATGACTAGATCATATGTGACCGGCTCTAGCAAAACCTGCTATTTGTTGCAATTTCTTATTTTGCACAAGAACCCAAAACGTTTGAGAATCAGAATATTCAAAATTTTCAGATTTCTGCGTTTTATAAACGATATTTTTATTTTTTATTTTATTTTATTTCATCCATTT